ACACACACACACACACACACACACACACACACACACACACACACACTCATTTGCTCTCTGTCATGTTTCTGTCAGTCTCACAGGCTCTGTGTCAGTATCTCAGCATCTTGCTGACTTCTCTTGTTCTCCTTTGTACTCTCTCGTGTTTCATCTTTGCCTCCATCCCTCCTCTCCCTCATCAAACCAGTCCATGCTCTAATTTTCACTTCCTCTCTCTTCCATGCTCTCACTCTCCCTCTCTCCCCCCCTGTTACTGCAAAAACTTTGTGAAATTTTCAGCTTCTCTTTCTTTGGGGGAACGCTTGTTTCTTTTTTTCTCTGTGGACAGATAGAAACTCTGAGAATTAACACACACACGAGGAATGATGTGAAATGAAGTGAAGTTAGTTTTGTCTTTCATCTGTGTTGCAGTGCTCACATCAGAGAATGAGCACAGTGTAAGCAGGTCATATGAATCCATCCGCACACACATTCTAACACACATAACTCAAACAAACAAATCAGAGTCCATCAGTGTGTCATCAAATATTTAGGGAGGGTTGTCCCACTTAGCTGTGATGTGCCGAATAGAAAAGATACAAAATAGAAAAAAGGACAACACTTCAAATAAATAAGCGTGAGAGACAGAATGGAGGTAAATTTAACCAGTTAACCTGACACACTTGATGTTTGCCTCCCAAAAGTATGTTAAAACCGGTTTCATCCCTAACACCACCTCTTACTTTAGTGAAGCTTGTTCTAGACATTTAAAATGAACCCCATGTCTGTGAAGGTTCTCAGTCATCCAGGTCATTGTAGTCAAATGAGCTTACAAAGAAAAGCGTCTGGACTTCTTTAAGTTGCTTGAAAAGTGGAAGTGGAAGGGGTTACATGAATAGGATGAATAGGATGAGGGACCTATGGAATCTTCGATACCCAGCATCCAGATTGACAGTCAAACAACTAGTAGCTCAGTGTTCCAACATTCAGTAGAAGGAAATATTCTCATGTCTAGAGTTTGACAAGATACAACACTAATGCTACGGCAAGGGGGAGCCAGGATGACGGCTCATGGGGGAGATATCATCACCTCCACCCGAGATTGGGTACCAAGCCCCAAGTGCAATGGAAGGAGGATTGTTGAGTGCTTGAGGAACTGTCCTGAGAGAGGGGATCATGGCAAAGCTTGAAACCTGGATCCTCCGTAGCTGGTTACTAAGACTAAGTGAAGTACCATCTGAGGATCTGCTAGATAATGTGAACGGAGTACTATGGACAGTACCTCCGAGATTGCAAGTCCAGACTGACCAACCTGTGCCCTACCTGGATTGACTACAAGAAGGTCTATGACTCCAGTGCCCTGCACCTGGATCCTGGAATGCCTAGAAATAAACAAGATCAACAGGACCCTAAGAACCTTTATCAGGAACTCCATTGGGATGTGACGTACAACACTAGAGGCCAACTTCAAGCCCATAGCACAAGTCACCATCAAGTGCACGATCTACCAAGGAGGTAGTCTGTCCCCACTGCTGTTCTGTATAGGCCTGAACCCCCTCAGTGAGATCACTGACAAGACTGGCTATGGATACCGACTACAGAATGGAGCAATCGTTAGCCACCTCCTCGTTAACCAGGGGGAAGGAAGAAAGAACTTATGGGATCATGCTACAAGTATCTTGGAATCCCACAGGGAAATGGGAACCACTAACAGGCTGCTAGGAAAGCTAGAACCACCAAGTACTTGCAGAGAGTGAGACAAGTCCTGAAGAGTCAGCTAAATGTTAAGAACAATATCCGGGTTATCAAAACCTACTCCCTGCCAGTGATCAGGTACCCTGCTGGGATAATAAGGTGCCCAAAGGAGGAGATAGAAGCCACAGACATCAAGACAAGGAAGCTCCTGACCATGAATGGAGGGTTTCACCCCAAGCCTAGCACCCTGAGACTGTACACTAAGTGCAATGAAAGAGGCTGAGGACTAGCTTGAACATCCACACCCATGAGCACATCAGGAAGATGGCCTTCAATGACAGCATGCTTAGTTAATACTTCAGGCAGCAAAAATCCAAGAAAAAAGAGGTGCAATAAGGACATGTAAGGACAGGTCCTTGCAGATACCACCAGCAGATAGAAGAACTGTCTGACAATCAGAAATCCTACCAGTGGCTGGACAAAGCTGGACTGAAAGGCAGGAAAGCGGCACTAATCATGGCAGCACAGAAGCAAGCTCCAAGTACAAGATCCATAGAGGCAGGGGTCTATCACACCAGGCAAGACCCCAGGTGCAGGCTGTGTACAGTTGCCCTTGAGAAAATCCAGCACATAACAGTAGGGTGCAAGATGCTAGTAGGCAGGGCATACATCGAACACCATAACCAAGTGACCAACAGGAACAAGTCCTGAGGTCAAAATGGGACATACCTAGGGTAGTTGAGAATGACGGATCTAAGTTCCTGTGGGACTTCCAGATACATACAGACAGACAAACTGGTGATGGCTAACCAACCAGACATAGTAGAGGTGGATAAACAGAGGGAGATGGCCGTAGTGATAGATGTAGCTATACTGAATGACAGCAAGATCAGGAAGAAGGAACATGAGAAGCTGGAGAAGTACCAAGAGTTGAGAGAAGAATTTGACAAGATGTGGAGGGTGAAGGTAACAGTGGTTCTAGTGGTAATCAGGGCGCTCAGTACAGTGACCCCCAAGCTAGGCGAGTGGCTCCAGCAGATTCCAGGAACAACATTTGAGATCTCTGTCCAGAAGAGCGCAGTCCTAGGAACAGCAACGATACTGTGTTGGACCCTCAAGCTCCCAGGCCTCCGATAGAGGACGTGAAGGATAGACTGAAAAGGGGATTTTGAAGTGTAACATTTATTATTTACTGCTTCAGCCATGCCATTTTAAGCACTTTGGGCTGTGTGACAGGTGCTTTGTAAAAAACAAAGCTTAGGATGAAAGGCGACATTTATTTAGGGTGCCTTTCAAGAGCAGAACATCACAAAGTGCTTCACAGAAGAAATAAAACATTTTTGAAAAATTACATAGTGACACTGATAAAGATACACAGAACAGATAACTCTATTCTTGGCTTTGTGTAAGGGATGAGCATTCTTGGGTCGATTGTCATTTTGTTTAGGATAAAAGAGAAAAAACCCCCCACAACTTTAGCTTTAAAAAAACAAGAAAAATAAAACTTACATCACTGAATAAAGCTACTTCAGCCAAGTCATAAATGCTTTTTTTCTGATCCCTCTTATTACAGTTGAGCATTAGTGAAAATACAGAGAAATATTTGAATAAGTATAATTTTACCATTCATGACAGTTAATTGAGCTGGATGCCTGAATATCTTTAAACAAAAACATCCCGCGTCTTCATATACGAAATGTCTCTACCTGAATTTAATTATTTTTGACTTTGCAATCAAATTTTGCTGTAAGGCTTTTTATTAGATATTAAGCCTTCAGTTTCATTAAAGTCTTACAGACAGATTTACTCTTCGTCATTATTTTATTTTGAGACGTTTCTGTATTTGACTATAAGAACTCTCATCATCAACTTTATGCCATTAATACAAAATAATCAAAGCTGCTCCCAGTGATCAGCTCAGATTGTTTAAGTTTACAGTTTGTCACAGCTGCATGAAAACCAAACCAAAATTATCAGTGATTTTATTTACATTTTTCAGTACAACAGGAACAGTAACAGACTGAACTAAAGTAAATAATACAATATATTACAGAGTTACAAAATATAACAAATAGCTCAATTATAAATATCCAGAATATTACAGAGATTAAATATATATGATTGACATTTTATACAGCTTTAGTGAAACTTTAATAATCGCTTCATATATCAATATCAGGGAATTTAAAAGTCTTTCTTATGTCTGTTTGTGTTGTGTGCAGAGATCTCATTCCGGGTTTGGCAGTGTGGCGGCAGTCTGGAGATCCTGCCCTGCAGCAGAGTGGGTCACGTCTTCAGGAAGAAACACCCATATGTGTTTCCTGAAGGCAACGCCAACACATACATCAAGTAAGTGTCTGAAGGATAATTTATAGAACTATTTTTATCACGGTTTAACAAAAAAATCAGTAATACTTGAGCATGAACCTTTGTGAATTCACTTCACCTGTTTCGGTGCAATTCAGAGGGACAACAGAGGTGTTGGAGAGGTGGCAACAGACCCTCTTCTTATTCCTCCTGACTGAGTTTTTTCTACTTTTTCTTTTTGCTCGTTTCCTTGTCACTGCTGATAGCATGAGACGATACCTGCAGCAAATTTAGGCTGCACATGTAGCCCAGCTCCTCCACAATATTGTAAGGTTTGTTTAATCTCTGGGAACAGACTCAAGAGCATGGAGGAGATACCAAGAGGTGGCTCCTGTTGCTGCTGTGTTGATGCCTTTCTTTGTCACTTTCATTTGTACTAAAGCAGATGAAACTGATTTATAATGGCTTATGTTTCTTTTTTTTTTTCTTTTTTTTTTGCCATGTATAAGAAATATTTGAGAAATTGTTAGATTGAACAAAGTTATAAGTATCACAATTTTTTAAAGTGCTACACTTCTTGCAGCAAACAAATGTATTTTTTTTCCCATCTGCTCACTCATTATTGACTCAGTGTCATGAGTCGACAGTGAATCACTATAATGACCATTTGGACCGAAGGAATCTGCTCTGTTCCTGACATTTAGAAGATCACAGTGTTAACACGCAGCCGTCTGTGTCCACACTCCAATGCTTTTGAACTCTCTCCTGGAAAAATTCAGTGAAAATATATTTTCAATAAATAAACCCTTCCAACTGTATCTGTAGGCTCGGGACAAGAAGAAGCAGAGGGTTTCTGCTTGTACTCAACTGGACCAATCACATTTGAGCAGGCTTTGATTGCATCCAAGGAAAACATCAAACGCAAAAATAAAACGTTTACCAAAATAGAATCAGCTCTAACCCAAAGTCCAGAAAAAGTGGTCTTCAGACCTGCATATACTGGGTCTAAAGACTAGCTGGTCATAAGAATGACAAGAATTCAGCCTCAGCTTTGCTATTAAATCTCACAGCTAAGAAGTTTACTTTCTTCCATCAGTGGTCTCATTCATACTTGGCTGATATTTGGCTCTTTTCTTCACTTTTTTTGTCTTCACTTTCTAAAATGCAGCTGCATAAATATCAAGAATAACGGATCCCCTTTGAGGATATGTGCAAACTCATATTCCCACAGAATCTTTGATTTATATTATACCATTGCAGCTGTTATTAACATTATGCATGTCCTACCTTCTGTGTTTGCTCAGTCACTCAACATCTTTAATTTAATATGCTGGAGGTAAATTAATTATGTGAGGAATATCGTGTCTGTCTAGTTTCTGCTATCTCCGTGGTGCTGACCTCCTAGCCTAAATACTGTTTGTTAACGAACTTTGGTACTGAATTAATAACATATCTGACTTTTTTGTAAATTTATATAATCCTCGAGCATGCGCTAACCTTCCTGCCTAACTAATAATACGAGGTCACTTTTGTGTGACTGAATTGCTGTGGCATGCAGAGGAAACAGACATGCAGCATTGCCATTCGGAGCTGTGTGTGTGTGTTGCAGCCTCCAAATGATGCTCCCATCATTGTTAAAGTGGATTTACAGCTGCCTGGGAGCCTTTGAGCTGCGAGCACAATATTATCCTATTAGCATAAGCTGTATTCTTATTCTGCCCCTGTCAAAGAGTTTGAACAGAAAGATGCTTTCAGGCAGCCCAATAATCCATTAACAGGACTAATGTGCTCAGAATGCTTCCGAATTGGTCTTGTATAAATAGATCAATCATGGCTACAATAACAACTCCATTTAGATTACAGGGTCAAGAACAAAGTAAACATGACTGCAAGGTGTGTTCCTAATAATGGCACGGTTTGGGATTTTGATCATGTTTGTGTCAAGTGATTTACTCAATTATTTTGTACTCCCATTAGTTTTACTTCCTTCCTTTGTTCTTCCCTTCAATTTCCTACCACACACATGCAGACACACTTACAGTATAAGAAGTTTCTTGTTTTCCTCTCATTAGTCAGAGTAGTCAAGCTAGTTTCCTTTTTTTCTATTTATTTGAATATTTTCCTTGTGCTTATAAAAGGATTTCCTTGGGTATGACTACTGGCTACTTTTATGCTTTTATGCTCTTCTGGATTGTTTGCCATGTTTATTGACCCCTTGTGT